TTAATAATACTGTTACCTATTCGTTTGTCTAAAGACAGTTGAAGAAGACTAAAGTATTGTATATACGATACCCAGTTTGTTTGTTTTCTTAATAATACTGTTTCCTATTGTTGCTAAAGTAATTGAAGAAGACTAAAAGTATTGTATATACGATACCCAGTTTGTTTGTTTTTCTTAATAATACTGTTTCCTATTGTTGCTAAAGCAGTTGAAGAAACTAAAAGTATTGTATATACGATACCCAGTTTGTTTGTTTTTCTTAATAATACTGTTTGCAGTTGTTGCTAAAGTAGTTGAAGAAGACTAAAAGTATTGTATATACGATACCCAATTTGTTTGTTTTTCTTAATAATACTGTTTGCAGTTGTTGCTAAAGTAGTTGAAGAAGACTAAAAGTACTGTTACGTCTCTGGTCGTTTGTTAATTTCCGTAAAAATTCTTTCCGAAGAACTTCAGTTGAAGAAGACTAAAAGTACTGTTACGTCTCTGTTCGTTTGTTAATTTACCGTGAAAATTCTTTCCGAAGAACTTCAGCGATACAAGTCTTTTCTTAAATAAAACTAGTTTATTCTTTCTCAATACAACTTTGCAACACTCTTAATTTCCACAGTCACTTTAACTTAAACACACTCTATAATTCACAACGATTCACGCACATTACTTACGACTTGACTCGATTATCTGTCTCTATATCTCCCTCTCTGCCATTATATCTCCGCTTATTTGGCGGGCTTATATACTAAAATAGAGGGTACTTGGAAAAGACTAGAGTTGCCAGGAAAAGTGAGGATCCTTTTAGAAACTCATGACGTGTTACCAGAGTCACGTGACTTCTGCTGTCGTAACAGTATTGTATATACGATACCCAGTTTGTGTGTTTTCTTAATAATACTGTTTGCAGTTGTTGCTAAAATAGTTGAAGAAGACTAAAAGTATTTTATATACGATACCCAGTTTGTTTGTTTTGTCTGAAAGGAAGTTGATTTGCGCGTTTTCTCTAATTAATATATATACGTATTCGGTTTATTATTAGCGTAGGTAGTATCAAGTAATTAGTGCTGTTTATACTTCTTTTAAAGTGGGCTCACAAAAATGAAAATTAGAATTGGAATACGAGATCGTGACACATCTGACAAATTTGGCAGGGTTCCGTCACTGTAAAATTTAGTACTACACCACTGCATCTACTAACAGCACCATACGCTTTAAGATTTGATTTCTCATAAATGACTCTGAAAAGAAGCATACCGTTCAAACTAAGACTTTGTGACCCAAACCAAGAAGGCTTATTTTTTACGTTCATTTAGCTAATATACACGACATTATGTATTTTACACTACAGTCGTGATACTGAACAAAAAGCTTGTCGGCATTGACATGTAACAAATATTTTGTTTGTCTCTTTGTTATTAAGCAGAGAGCTACACAATGGGCTGTTCTGTGTTGTGCTCACCGCGGGTATTGAAAACTACATTTTAGCCCTCAGACACGCCGCTGAGCCCTGGGGGACAACAAATAAAATGTGGTTGAATTACTATTACACATTCCTTTCCAAAGCTCATAATATGCGAGTAAAGCATGATGTGTCTCAATTTATTATAAGTTTTATTGTGATTTAATACAGCATACATAACTCACTAGACAACATACAACTTGTTCAGCAGTTCTCAATTATGTTAACTTAATTAACATATGCAAACTTGATACAAAGCTTCACAAGCATCTTGTAGGCCTAATTATAAAAACTTCTCTTTTGTAAATTCAGCCTGATAGCACAACTCAATTCGTAAATGTCTTTGTATTGGAAGATTGTCTTCAAACGCTGTTATTAATTGAACAGACTATACAATATGTTTTTAATTGTACTGGTTACACATTACTCTACTAATTATACCTTACATTTTTAATTGTAGATTGTACCTTACTTCTTCATTGTAGCTTTTATACGTTAATAAAAACAATGCATATGTGAGGAGTTCATATCTTCTTCAAGTTATATATTTGTTGTGTGTTGTTGTTTGTTAATAAGAACAAAGCTCCATAAAGAACTATCTGTGCGCTGCCCACCACGGGTATCGAAACTCGGTTTCTAGCGACATAAGTCCACAGACATACTGCTGCGCCACTAGGTGGCGAATTATATATTTGCTCACAAATATATTCACTTTTAAAACAGTCAAAAACAACTAATATGTACGAAATATTCTATTTAAAAAGTTATACATTTTGAATTGTACAAATTTTACATTACATTTTTAATTATACAAATTTTACTTTTTGTTTTAATCATTTTGCCACTTTTTTACAACCAGAAATCTAGAGACCGAGTTATTCAAACATATCAGTGAGGTTTTATACATTTAGTAATGTTAAATAATTTATGGAAAGTAAAATCAAGAAAACACTTGGACAGACAGATTGGCTGCTCGTCGGAATCAACTTTTAAACGAAAATGTAATTTTACTATAAGTAAATGTCAAATTATAAGAAAGTTAACAACTATGATAGTTATTGAGTAATTCTTCCCATGAAGTGTTTTTACATCTATACACAAGTTATACATGATTAACAATATTAAATCTTATCAACGAGTACAGCCACTAATTGTTTTCATTTTTAAAATAGACACTAGTGCTGTAGTGTTATGGATATAATGTCAGGTGTACAACACTGTAAATAATAATGACCTCCTTAAAGACATCCAGGTGTAAGAATCGATGTTTATTGACTCTGTAACGATTGAAGTGACTATTACAAAACAGCGCCCTCTAGTGAAAGTTACTAACATTACATCTGTTACAGTAATATCAAAATACTTGAAGTTTTGGTCAAGTTTTTTTCTTTATTTTCTTAACCAAAATGAACCAAAATAAAATGTTGGCTTTGATGAACATAAAATAGTTTTCACACTTTTATGGTCAAGATTATATAATATTTATTGCATACTGTTGAAACACACTGATCAAAAGCATAAACTGAAACATCATTTGTAATTGGAAATTTTTTTTCAGGTTAATAAAAGTAGTACAAAAAATAACAAAGCACATATTAGAAATTCATATCTTATTCAAGTTACGTAAGTCTATTTTCTCATGAATATGTCCACTATACGAAAACCAAAAAGTGTGCAAAATATTTTAAAAAGTTACAAAATAACAAAGTAGAGATGTTAAATTGGTTATAACTCGAAACTAAGTTTACCTGCCTAAATGTACCACTTGTCAGGTCTATGTGTCAATGAATCTGTTAGTAAGAAACGTATTATAATGTTTTATGTCGTTTAGTGCTATAAAGTAAATCATAAGAGCACCACTATAGTAAAGTGTCATGTCATCATGAATAATTCCTTTAGTCAAAGAAACTATTCTAATTATTCAATTAAGCTCGACGAACAAAGACACTAAAATAATAATGTACATACACATGAAAGCTTTAATTTCATAATAATATTCATAGCAAAAATTAGCTGGAAAGATGGATAATCATAATTCCAACTCATTATACATAATGTGACACAGCATTACTAAATTGAGAAACTATATCACAAGTTGTTTGATGGAGTGGAGGGACTGTTCATCTGAGTGGTTCGTAGAGTAAGACTGCGAGGGACAAACGTCATGCGAGGATTGATTCCGTGGATTCGTAGATAACCTTGGTAGTTGTTGTTTACTAGATCAGGTACATAGCCAGGAGGTGGGTCGAAATATCTAACAAATGGACGATTAAATCCTCCCAGTACCACAATCGACAAGAGACAAAGCAGAAATCCGATGTGCTAAACATAAAACAATGTCATTACAATGGTGTAATTTAATGTGTATCCAGTACACCAATCGACAAGAGACAAAGCAGAAATCCGATGTGCTAAACATAAAACAATGTCTTTACAATGGTGTAATTTAATGTATATCCGGTACACCAATCGACAAGAGACAAAGCAGAAATCTGATGTGCTAAACATAAAACAATGTCATTACAATGGTGTAATTTAATTTGAGCATCATCAAATTAACTTTCACAGAGTTCTTACCATTGGACACAAATACGTCTTCGTAGTAAGTTTCCACGAAGAGCTTTTTAAAATACGGGTAACAGTATGAGGAATAAGCAATTTCTAACCAAACCTATTGAAAAAAAAACAAGCTTTTGCATAGATATCTCACCCAATGTCTGAGTATTGAATTAATGTTCTGTTTTTATAAATTTCTAACGTAACACTATATTGTGTTTTTAAAGTAGATATCAGCATAGCTGCCCAACACGGGTATCGAAACCCGGTTTCTAACGGTATAAGTCCGCAGACATACCACTGTGCCACTGGGGGGCATATCCATTTGGAAAGTAATATTTTAGATCATTAAAACATCTAAGTAAATCGGGCCTGTAGCATCAAATCCATTTGTTTTTTTGTGTGTTTTAAGTTATATTGCTTCCCAGTGGCACAGCGGTATGTCTGCGGACTTACAACGCTAGAAACCGGTTTCGATACTCGTGGTGGGCAGAGCCCAGATAGCCCTTTGTGTAGCTTTGTACTAAACTACAAACAAATTAAGTTATGTTATTGTAATTACGGTTACATTTCTTCATTTTTGAGAGTTTCAAAGTTGCAGTTTAGTTATTTAATTCGCTAATATATATAATATTCTAATACTTAAATACGGGGGGGGGGGAGCGATTTATGTTCCGAATGCAAATCGAGAACAAGGCCTGAAATGTGTTATTCTATTGGGTTTAGCAAGCAGATACCGTCAGAACGTTTCAAGTCCCACTCTGCAGTCGAGGTATACCCGTTATTGTAGACTTAGCCAAGTCAGCTTCTATTTGTTGATGACGCGGTTATGGAGGGGGGGGGGGGGGTGACCTGTGTACACTCACGCCACACAACAATGTCTACTGTTGACTTGGAACCATAAATAAATAGTAGTAAGTAACCAAACGACCTTGGGCGAAATTCAGCCCTGTCCTTTAAACGATGGCCAATACCTGTGGCTAAACATTTAACATTTACAATATAGAAAGTATAATAGAACTATGAATATAATTAATCTAGTAACATGAACGGCACATCACTCGTGGGTAAGAAGCTGAAACAGGTATACAACACCTTACCGAGTTTCGTCACCTTTGTTTTCACATATATCGTTTCTCGTATACTGAGTTTAGTTAAACATTGCAACAAAAACACAGCTTTTATAACATTGCTGAAATGTCAAAGTTCTTTGGAAAGCATTAGTTTTTAAATCACTTAACTGAAACATCGTTACAACTACAACAACGAAATGACAAATTATAGCACAATGTCTCGCTTTTTCACGAATTCAGATAACCAGAAGATACCTGATAAGCCAGGAAAACCAGCTATTTTAGGAACTTAAACAATATTTATTGCGTAAACGAGCACAATTTTCACTTAAACGATAAAAGTACAGTCTCATGTGCTTCTCATACACGGAAATACATGATTACCTTATGAGGAAGCGGCTAATCAAAGACTTGGCCACTGCTACTGCTAAATTTTAAGTGGTTTAAACACGCTGTTGGTAACCTTGTGGATTTCAGTAGAAGACCTTGAAACACGCTAATATTACGTAGAAATTCTTGTCACGGATCCATATGGAGAGAAACAACAATAACGACTGATATTAAGACTAAACATGATGTCAGCTTTATATGTAGATTTCTTCTTTTTCGGTGGGTTCCTTTATCCTAGTCACATTTTAAGAACTACTAAGTGTATTGCCGATATCTGCACAATATATTTACATTCTATAAATCTAGAAACTTGGTTAACTTGAAATTACGTACGTTGTGACATAATAACTGTGTGAAGCTGGGCCACGGTTAATTTAATGGTTAGCGTGCTCGGATTGTGAATCCGAGGATTCATGGGTCGCGGCCTGTTGCCATAAAAATGCGGCTTTCATATTGGGGCTATGGGTGCGTGGCCCGTTGCTATATGATGTGTATTGGTTATATTTTACACGAATTGTATATTTTCTTTCTTACCATAATGGCGTTTCTATGCAAAACAGGTTATTAATTTTTTTACATTCTTGTTTTTACTTTAATATGTTTTTAATTAAGTTTTTATTATATACTAGTAAAATGATACACATAACATGCACACGGTGAGCAGTGCAAGTCCAATTTAATAAAGTAAACAAATCATTATTTGGCAAAAGTCTGTGTGTCCGCTTATAGTTGGAGAAACACTGGACAGGTACGTCTGCTAGTATAATCATAATGACACATAAAGGACATTAGACTTTGCAAACTAGAAATGGAAAGTTTTAAGATCAAAAGCCATATATATATATTTCTGCTATACAGCTAAACAAAATTATGGGTTTAAAATCACCAGCTTTGAAGTGGGATAATCTACTTTCTTGTCTCCTGGAAGTAGTGGATGCTAAAAGTAAAGTCTCATGTTCGTTTGTTTCGGAAATTCGTGCAAAGCTCCACAAAGTCTATCTTCGCTAGCCTTCCCTAATTTTGAACTAATAAACCAGAGGGAAGGCAGCTAGTCAACAGCACACATAGCTAATTCTTGGGCTACTCTAACTGAATAGTAGAATTATGCCGTCACTCTTATAATACACCCACGACCCCAAAGTCCAGAGCGCGATTTTATGTTAACCATGGGCCCTCGTGTTTACAGTCCCGTACATTAACTTAGGACAAGTCCAGCCCTAAATTGAATTATATTTTTTTAAAAATTTGATGTACGGCGTGTTTTTCACTAGTGAAAATTGAAGTACAGGAGTAGAACTTTGGAAACCAGGCTTCAGTAACCATTTTAAGAACAAAGTAGACGAAAAACGCACAAGAAAGTGCATTTACCTGTCTATACATGACAAGAAAGGTGCTTAAAAACGAGTTAACTCTCTGTGGCCTTAAAAGGTTTGAGCGTCTGTATAAAATAAATAATTTTTTGAAGTGCGAAGATAACATGTGAGATATCATTTTTCAATACTTCAATCCAAACTATACAACTTGTAATTACAATACTTACTTTAATGGTCATATCCGCTGTTTCGTCCCGAACGTTCTCTGGCGACGACAATATTAAATATGTACTAATCACGTTAAAAACGATCTATCGTTTTTACTATACTTGTATAAATCTTCTTCTTACAACAGTTTTCCCATGATAGCTTTACTAACTACTCGTATGTGCTTTATGTCATTTCGCATGCGATATTAACGCCATCTTGCGTTTCAGTTTAACCATGAAGTTACCCAGCAAAAAAAAAAAGAAAGAAAGAAAGAAAAAATAAATCTTTTTATCACTTTCACAGGCTTATTGATGATGTCACAGAAGTTGTTTCAAACGGGTTGTGATGTTAAGGGTATGAAAGTGCGTCATCGGGTTGCGTTTAATGATAGGGAAATGTCACGGCTAAATGTTGCAACAAACTTGTTACGATTATGACGTAATATAGCACAGTATCATGATCAGCCGGAATTACATAATTTAAACATTTGTTTACTATAAATATATATATATCTGTATCTGATATCATGACTAGCATCAGATAATTTTAACATTTCTTGAGTCTCTTACAAACACTTACAAATATGTTAACGCCCCCTCTTAATATTAATTCAATTTTATTTCCCCGAAAGGAGGCCGTAGACTGCCTGGAAGGGTCACCTGTATTAACCACTCGCACCACTTTACAGTAGTGTGTTGTTTGTCAGTCAGTCAGTAGACACTAAAATGACGCCTTGTTTCCTTACTTTTCTTACGATCCCTATTTGCATGTTTTTAAATTCCTAATCTTTTATTTATCGTGTTTCCTGGCTTTTTTGATTCTCAACTATGGGCAAAGGATTACTTGATATGGTAGCTAACTTATACAATGTAATGATAATAAACATAGCTAGATGATTTACTGTAGCTATTGACTATTC